TGAAACATAACAGTGTTTTTCATAGTTTTGAGCTTTGTAGTGCAAATGACAGCTTCCCTTGGAAATCTTCTTCAACTAGGTACCCTTCTCAGAGAAATGTGCAAATCTTTCACAAAGCATCAACACACTGTTACTTTGAAAATGTATACAGATTAAGGCACTATTACGCACCAAGTCAACCAATGATTTAAAAAATAAAGACAAAATTCCACATAGCAGATGTGGTTATGGACATGAAAACACCTAGGCATCAATACACTTCAACAAATGAAAGAGCTACTGATAATCTAAGAACCTTAATTCACCACTGTTCAGAGCAATTAAATAAAAGCGACTTTTTATTAAATTAAACCTTGTGTTCCAGTTGGGACATCCTTTACTAGATCCTTTATTATAATTAACTTATTTTCACTATCTTATTATTTATGCATGCATACTTACTATTTCAAATAATACTTTTCTGGATAAGAAATCACTTTCATGGCAATCAGTTTTAGCAATTAAAGATTGAAATAAATATATTTAACATGGTTAAGCAATAGTATGAGTTTAAAAAAAATAGAGATAAAAAAATTATAAAAAAAAACCAATAATATATTTTTTTTTCTTTTTATTACAATTACCTTTACTAATGTCTTACATGAATTAAACAGGGAAAATGATAATTAAAATATTATGGTACTGCCATTTAAATGCACCAGTATCATAAAAAAGCTGCAAATAATAAAACACAAACTTCAAACTCAGAATGATTCATTTAAATAATCGTAAAACTTCAGCTTAAAAAATTCCCTTCTTGAATAGTCAAAATTAATGGTTTCAGAACATTATAAGAAGCTTTCGTATCTTCACTTCTTGTAGCTCAAGAACATTATGTTTATATATACAGTACAAAATCTTTAATCTGGACTCGTCGGGAGCTCAGCGATTCCGGATTAAAGATCATCAATTTAAATCTGGTAAGATGGCATGCAGAAATTATAAAATTAAAAATATGAAACCATAATTTATGAAATAAAGAGCAATTATGATCTAAAGAGTATCAAATTAAAAAAAAAAAAAAAAAAAAACTTAATATTTATTTGTTTACTTTATTAAACATTTCTTTCAATGTATGTTGTTTAAGTTGATTCGTTTTTTTGTGCTAATACTTTCTCTTTAATTCTATAAACAGACATAATTTCTTGTTCAGTTCACTGTTCAAGTCCTGCAATTGCTGTGTCGAGGATACCGACTAACTTGTCAATTGAAATGTTTTCATTTTCAATAACCTCTCTGTCACTTTCACTTCACAAGCGGTCCTTTGGAAAAGCTTTCGTTTTGTAGATCCTTTGGCAGCTCCAGAATTGGAAACTCTTTTTGAGTTAATCGAAAGTTCAAGTTTAATTTTTATAAAATTGCTCTAACAGTCTGCGAAAAATAATAATCCGAAGCCAGATCCAATTAGAAGATTAAGGAACAACGCAATCTGCAACAATTAACTGAAAATAGATAATTAGATAATTTTAAAGCTTAGCTTATACCATCTGTTATACATTAAACGCGCACATGCGTAAACATATTATGTGCATGCGTTCACGCATATGGGCATGCGTGAAGGTATTACGCATTGGCACATGCGCAGAAATTTTGTAGCTTTGAGGTCCGGATTATGGATTATCCAGATTAAAGACTTTGTACTATATATATAATATAGATATGTATATATGTATATAGTTTTCCTTCAATTTATTTTTAGGAAATTAAACATGCTCCGATACAAAATGAGTGGCCAAATAAAATGATGATTTTTTAATCTGCCTACTACCACAGAAAAATCAAAACATTTTTAAGCCACAAACATCCTAAAAATTGGTCTATTAAAATATACTAAAAATTACCATTTTTTAATGCTGTTATTATATGAAAAAGACAAAATAATTCCAGTAACATGATAAGGGGTTATTAATGAGGATGGAAGATTTGGATCTTCAAATCCTACAAATCTAAAAAAAGATTCAAAATTCAAGATTTTAAAAAAAGCGAACTTTATGCTTTTTCCCCCTCTCATATGAACATTCTCAACTTAAAACTCAATAAATGTTTTAAATCAAAACTTTGGAAAGATGAATTTAATTAACATCTTGCAGAAACACTGATTAAAAAAATAACATGCCTGTTATAAGTTCAATATACCTGGATCAAAAATGTCATCTTCCGGAGGTACAAAAACAATGCTCTTCTTTTTTAGAAAGAATTTGGTGTCCCATGCTAAATATTTATCTATTTTAATTTTTGAAATATTCCTCCCCCTTCTATTGTCGCTTTGATTTAAAAAAAAAAAAAAAAAAAACTGCAGAAAAAGTAAAGAAAATTTGAACTGTTATTTAGATACTTTTGAAAAATTAAACTGAGAAAATGAAGCTCGAGATTCTGTAGTTTTAAACATGAATTTAATTTAGATTAAAATAACATGCCGAATAATGACTATTGGAGAAGTCAAACAAGAATCAGCATTATATTTGTAAATTTTCCAGGACTAGTTTTGATGGCTTAATTACTGAACCATTGAAAGAAGTTCTACAAAATCTACAAATATAACACTGATTCTTGTTGTCTGACTTCTCCAATGTATTTCATGATTAAATTCAATTTGTATTTCCTTAATATATATAGATGTTTCTAAAAAACATATTCTTAAATTTGTTTTCCTTAACAGAAAGTTTCAAATTTAATTTTAAATAAAAAGTTTCATTACTAAATAAAAACTTTCTGCTTTTCTGTTTTATTATACTCACATGAAGCAAATGTTCAACACTATTTCATGATTTAGTAGCTTTGAATGTAAGTAAATTTGAGATTTTTCACAGCTCTAATTATTAATATAATTCATCAAATTTCAAGAGAAGCACTTAAGAATGGCACAAAATTCTACTACAGAATTTTTTTAACTTTGTGTGATTCAGAAAAGATACGTACAAAGATAAGAAAGATAATGTTTTGCATTGTGCTGTGTTGTAGTGCGAGGAGATGTGTTATGTTGAGGTTGCTTCTAATTTGGAAGTCTCTTATTCTTGTTGTTTGCCTGTTTATTTGTTTCACGAAAAACATGTCTTGCATGTCATATTGTGACAACAATTCAATTTTATACTAAAGCATGATATAAAAAGTAATTGTTTTTTGAATTTCTTTGAGAGGGCTTTAAATAGTAAAACTGCAAAATGAAATTCCTATTAGCACAAAGAAAGCTAAGTCAGTACAACAACTATTTAACCAATAGCATCACAAAGAATATCAAAACAAAGTCTGTAAGAGTCTAAACCATAATGGCTCAGGCCTTTAAGAGTCTAGAAGATGTATTGGTAACACTCAAGATGAACAAGCTTTTAGCTGAATGAGCAATATTTACACTAGAAGATGATCTTTGACTGTACAACATATTACAGATTTAATAAAAATTTTCTTACATGGGAAAAACCCTACTGAATAATAAATTTGTTTTAAAATCTCCTAGAACAGCGGTCGTCAACCAGTGGTCCATGAAAACGTTTTGATGGTCCGCAGAAAAATTGGAACATTATTTATATTTTTATGAAGATTCAGTTTAAAAAATGGCAAGTAACAAAACCTATTATGGAATATGGATAATTACCCTTTTTTTTTTAATTTTTAATTTTAGCTACTACTTTTAGCGAAATTCCTTCTGAATTTAGCTACTTTTTAGCTACTTTTGCTGGTGTATCTGGCGACAGTTGTCATCCATGGATATGCTGCTGTTATCAATAACAGCGCGAACTGGTATTCTCTTTTGTTTTGAATTACAAACATAATGCTATTGTAGTCATTAATAACACAGTTTTTCTCCTTGTCAATAGGCAACTTGATGGATTTTTATGAGAAGCATCTGCATTCTTGCTTGATATTGCATCACTGGAAGTTTCTGTTTTTGGTTTGTCTAACTGTTGATCGATGGCACCATTGCTGAATAAGCGATGATTATTATGTTTACAATAATTAAAAATTGGCGGCATAACACTTTCAGTTTATTGATATTGCTTTGCAGGTTTGTTCTTGCTTTTCGTGAAGTTCGTTTTCAGTGATATGGAAATGTGAAGCTTTCTGTGCAAGAAGGTAAGACTTTTGTACTATTCATATAATTTTTCAATGTGAATGAAATATGTGTATCAGTGAGATGTTAACAGTGTTTTAATTGTTACTCATAATCAGGGGGATCGCCTGAATTTCCATAAAGGCATGCTGCTGAACACCAAATTTTTTGAAAATATGTTAATAAATGAAAATTAGAAGTACACGTATTGGAAAGTTGAATATTGCTTTTGCATAATAATATGTTGTTTTTAAGGTCTGATTTAAGGTTTTTTTATTCATTTTTTGTAATTCATATTAGTGGTCCGCAAAATATAAAATTATATATGTAGTGGTCCATGAAGTTCTAAGGATTGATGACCGCTGTCCTAGAAGATACACTGAGGTGAAAGAAAACAAAAAAAATAATGTCTGGCAAAATCTGGCATAAACTGTGCCACATAATGAAATTTACTTGTTATTTTATGTAATTTTTGTGACATTTTGTGATTTAAAAATCTTAGTATTAAAAATCCTTTATTTGAAAATGTTTTCATATTGATGATTAACTTACACTCCATTTTCGCAAAAAATAAAGTATTTAGATAAAATTTGATATTTTGCTTTTATACGATAAAGTGTTTAAAATTTTTACAATTCACCACTGTTTATTCATGTAACATTTTAATTAAAATGTAAAAAGATATATATAAATAAAATTTAAACTACATAACTATAATGTAAAAAAAAAAAAAAAAAAAAAAAGACTGTATATAATCAATGTAAGGTGAGCATTTTCTTGAGATACAGCAACAATTCTTACACAACAGTTAAATTTTAAGCTTCTCTTCCATTTTATGTGCATTTGTTAAATTTTGTTACAGCTATGCAAAACATACTAAATGTATAAAATATCCATTTGCAAAAATTATTACCATCTAAACATTTTAAAAACTGTGCAACCATACGTCTTTCCATTCCCCGGTCACTCGTATCCCTCTTTGGACAGACGGCATCGATTTCATCGATAAATAAAATGCAAGGAGCACTCTTGATGGCTTCATCAAATATATCACGAATTTTGCTTTCAGACTGTCCTGAAATACCACTAACTAGTTCAGTAGCTGCTACTTCAAGAAATGGCAACTGCATTTCCTAAAAAAACATTTTGTTAATAAACGGAATTAAATACAATAACTATCAAAATATATTTAAAAAAAAACGTTTGGTGTTCTTGACAAGCAATTAAAACAAAAAATAAATAAAATGCTTACCCCAGCAATAGCACGAGCTAAATGGGTCTTCCCACATCCAGGAGGACCACGAAGTAGGACACCACGCACCGGTCGAACTCCTAATTCTTCAAACAATTGAGGATCTTTTATATGTATAAATAGCTTGAGTATATTCTAAAGGAGGAAATTAAGCATTTATTTAGAAATATTTTGCAATAAACAAATAATACTGATCAACATTATCTACATCACAGGTAATAAAATACTAAGTTACTAATTTGTTAGAAATACTATGTTCTCTATGAAAAAGAGATTTATCTATTTGCTTTCTTCTGTTAAAGAAAGCAAATTTAAGAATATGTTTGCAATACTATGTTGATATAATACAAACAATATAAGTGGTCTAGTTCATAAAACATGCACATTTAATACAAAAATAAGATTGAAACTTATGGGTGCGCATCATACGCTGGATGTAAAAATGATAGATTAAAAATAACGAAAAAAAAAAAAAAAGATTTTTATATGTACTAAATGCTGTTTATTTAAATGACATGTTATACCTTATGAACTTAAAAATTTTCATTATCAGATAACATGAGAAGTTTGCCATGTTCATCTTCCATTATATTTTCAGGCACATTGAATTTTATTTCATCTTTATCATCATTGTTACTCTGATCCATACATAAATTATCATCATCCGCTTAATCTTTCACCAACAACAAACATCCTTACTGCGACGATTTCCGTTTTCTTTCACTAACTGAAAGACTTTACATTTGAAACCAGCACTGTGTCGTGTTGTTTGGCAGAAACCATATTAACTACTAAAAGTAACTCTAGATCAACCGCATTTCAATTAAAGCAAATGCAATTCACTAAAGCCTTCAATGATCCATTCAAAATCCTGGCCTTAAATGACTCCTAATTCCATGAATTCATTCGAGTCCGAAGGGCATTCTAACTCCAAATTCTGTCCATTTTTACTCAAAACTCTAGAATAACATTCTTCTGCATACCTGGCTTGAATACAATCCACCCTCTTTGCAGAATTATTCACTTCCCCAAGCTTTTATTTTCATACGCGTATGGTTTTCCTTATTGCTTGTCAATTCAGTATATCATTACTTGGATGCCTAAAAAATCTCCGAATAAATAACTTTAAAAAAAATAATAAGAGCATCACATGTTTCTTTGTTAAGAAATGCATCACATGTCACATTATACGGTGAAGGCACATAAAAATTAATAAACATAGTTTGAAATTATAGGTGCACGTTATATACCGGAATGCAAAGTCACTGAAGCTTAATAAGAATATATAGCCAGAATTCACATATATTTATCTACAGGAAAATTAAGGACTTTTATGCGCCATCAACGAAAAACATTAAAGACATACCAGTAACTACGAATCAAATAAATCAAAGTAATAATTTATGCAACTGATTTCAATATCATAGTATCATTCTAATAACAGAACAGAAGTATGTAGGATGCATTATTATAACATGCAATCTAATATTTAACATAACTGTAAAATGAATTTGTGAATAAAATCAGTTCCCTGAAAATGACTAGGTAATTAACATTAAATTAGGGCTATAAATTCTTAAGCATTTCGACCCTAACGGGCACATGCGTTCTAGAGATTAGATTTCATACCCTAGTGGGTAAATAAAACCCACTTTTAAATGGGTTTTTTTACACTGAGTGTTTTTAAGGAGTTAAGAGAACAAATATATGACTAAAGAAAACTGGCAACACTTTTAGATTGCAGAAATGGCGCACTTAAAGCTTTTGAGCACGCTGATAAAACAAGTCTCCTTTTTTTTTTTTTTTTTTTTTTTTGGGCAATTTTACAGTAAGTGCAATACTTTATATGAAATAGTTCTTATTGTTTTATTAAGTAGTAATTTAACAATTTTAATGTCAGATATCAGAAATTTTGAATAAATTCTTTTTGTGGGATATATCGTCCAATCATATTAAATAGTGGGTTAATATGTCCCACTAGTGATCAAATTACAACATGCAGATATATTATGTTTGTGATTCTGAAAGATATATGAAAATATTTGTTGTATATAAGCTAGTACATGTGACAGAGTTTATATTTTGTAAATTTTTGTTTTGTTTTCTGAGAAAAGGTAATATCCCAGATGATTGTGACAAATAGTCCCAGTTGACAATACTATTGGGACATACTGTCCCAGGAGATTTCTAGGAAATGGGAAAAGTTAAAAACTTTAAATTCATATTACACTTCTTTTAGTATATCAGGATTGAATTAAACTACTTTTTATAACTAAATTTTAATCATGCAAAAGTCGAGTCAAAAGGGCATTTATATTTTACACTTATAATAACTATATATTTTCACAGAGAAGATCTACATGATCAGTATTAAAAATTCTTCTATTTATTAAAAATATTCATTAAGAAAATGGTATCATTAAAACAATCTAATGAAATTTTGCAGTTAAAAGCAGCATATAAAAGCACATGCAATTTATTATTTGGGCTTTAAAAAGATATTCAAAGAATTATACATAAAAAAAAATAAAACATCTGTAACACTACAAAAATATTTATCTTTTATAACTAAATTATTTTTGGATATTTCAGTTTATTTAAATCTATATTCTTATCTTTAACCAATTTTCTAAGTTCATTTTCTTTTAATAAATGAATTAATTAGTATATTAAAAGCTTCAGTGGTTCTAAATCTCTATATGTAAGATAAAAATATATGAATCAGAATATAACTATATACATTAATTCTTCCTCTCTATTCTAAAATCATAATAACTTCTCTGCATTTTGTCATTTCTAGATCACTCTATGGCCCGCGAAGCTCTGATGTGACGTAATAATTGGGAACTGAAACTGCCATTGTAACCAAACTTTCTCCGCCACCCTGGGCGACCAGTGCAGAGAAACACACTGGTTAGCTTAAGAGGATAGCCCTATTGATGGATATGTTTGTAAAAGTATTGCGAGGCTTCAAGTTGGTAAAATCAGGAATTGTAAATGAAAGATGATAACGGTGAAACCATAATTTATAAAACTGTTACTCCTATAATATTTATGGTGTTAAAATATAATTTATCAGTATGGAAATTAGTACCATAAATATTTATGTGCATTACATTTAATTATAAGTAATGATTATGTAAAAGTTTATTTTGTGATATTCTGTAATAACAAGAACCTTCCCTGAAGAATTATGAATTATGTGAACTCTCAAACAAAAAGACTTTTGGACTGAAATGCTGAAAAATTCAATAGGACTCTAAAAATTAAAAATTTATTTAAAAAAATTGATATTTATAAATTAATACTAATAATTGGGGAACTGAAACTGCCATTGTAAACCAAAAACTTTATCCTCGCCATGCTTCCATCTTTCATAACTCCGCACTCAGCTTTTGCTCTCTACTGTGCTAAGATGTAATTTCGCTGGCTTGCTTTCTATCTCAACACAATCAAAAAATGTAAATCTTCTGTGGAAAGGCACGACTAGAGTGCCAAGTGATTGTAGCCACAAATATCAGTTGCAAATAAAAATGGAATTAAAACTGCCTCGACTGCCAAGTTCTTTAGATATTACCAAGTTAGCATTACTAGCATACTACGCAATCAAAATCTTCTTCAATATGGGTGTAATCACGCATCTACAGTGTTCCGTCTTTCCTTTGCTTTTATTATGACATATATGTATTTAGAACATGCAGGAGTTCCTAATCCTACTTCTTCAGTAATTTCAATATTACGATTTAGTTGCAGAAAACATTTTCTCAAGCTTATGAAATGATATAACGCACAGTTAGATAAGCTATGAAATGAATGATATAATGAAGCTTATGAAATGATATAATGCACAGTTAGCACAAGGTGATAGCTAACCATTATTTTACTTTTTATTTCACTGGTTATTTCTTCTCCAAAAAGGAATGCTGTACTTTAGGAGTTGCCACCTTGTACATGTATGGCTGGCTTTTTTAATAAAACTGTAGCATGATCTACATACTAAACTCTTGACGTTTAACCTATTCAGACTTCTGTCTTGTGTATTAAGAAATTACAACGTGGAAGGGATATTAAATCAACATATTGCAACAAGCAGCAAAAAATCTACTACTGGCCCTGTATAGATTTTACCCAAAAATTGATAAAATTATCAATTTCCCAAATTTTTCCCTAAAAATAAACTTTAATAACTTTACAACCTTGAGAAGAAATTTTAAAATGATCTTATTATATTAAATGGTGTAAAAAGGGTATTAAAATTTTTGACAGCCCTTCAAGTGCACACTCTCCTTAGCATTTATTTTCCTTTACTTCTGAACTGTCTCAGTTAGTTATTAAAAATAAGTGTACAAGAAGATCATGATTAGATGTGAGTGCAAGCATCTGCAAATTCTTAATACCAGTAATCTTATTAATTTTAAATATGAATGAATTAAGTTAGAATTTTTTCCCCCCACTTTTGAACCTGCAGGCTGCCTTCCCCCCTCCTTTTTTACCTCCGCAAATACTTCTCTATATATAATCAGTCAATGTTGTCATGCCTCAACAGAAACAAAAATTATTTGTGATAAATATGAACAGAATGAGATGGCATAATGAAAATGATCAAGTTCCTTACTGTAGCATTAATGAAAATCATGTTGGAACAAATATTAAATGCTTCAATTAATTGAAATTTTCTCATAAATTATTTAAAAAGGCAGTTTTCATATCAGAACTAATGACTAAAAGAAAAGAAAAAATCACATATGCTGCTGGGCAATTTCAAATAAAACATATCAATGTCTCTTCAAATTTGAAAATATACATTTTGAAAAAAAAAATGAATTAAAAAACAAATTAATAATATTAACATTGATTATAAATGTTTTAGAAAAATAATATAATTAATTTATATATTAAAATTGTTCTGAATGTGTTTTACAAAACAAAAACAGATACAGATATGTTCAACTTACATTTTATGATTTTTCTTGCAATATTTTTAGTCATATAAGGTTTAGAGTAAACATTTGTAACTTTATATTCATATTCACCAATTGCAAAATATTTAAAAAATTGGAAACCCTTTAAACATCTTTTAAAAGTTTACATTCTTTAAACTTTTCTCAATTTGCCTTTTTCGATAAATCCTTTTACTTACAGTCCTAAAACGTGCACAGATATGAACTAAATTCTTTAATATTTTTATTGTATGTTTATTACAATATTATAATATAGAAAAAAGGATGGGTTTTGCAAAATACTGAAAAGGAAAACTAGTAGGAATGGAAATATAATTGAAACTAATTCATGAATTGCAAAATTAATCCTTAAAGTTATGAAAAACATTCTAATTAATTCAACATTGAAAACTGCAAAAGAAGAAAAATATTTTAATTACTAATTTTTTCTTCAAAAAATTTTTAATATTTTTAATTACTGATTTTTTTCTTCAAAAAAATTAAATCTAAAAAAAATTACTTGCAAAAAAAATTTTACAGCTTTAAAATCCTTTTATCTAATAAAAACATTCAATAATATTCCTAAAAAATAAATGAGAGTTAAATAATATTAGAAAAAATTCTAAAATTACCAAGCCCCCTTAACATTGATGAATATCCACAGTATTTATATCATTCAAATAATTAAGTTCTAAACTATAAACTGTTATTTCTAAATGGTTTAAATCCAATGATTTTTTTTCATAATTTTTATTACGAAAAAAATTTTTTTTTTGAAAAATTAGTTTTCTTATCAACAGATTCTTGATAACATGATTTATTAACCTTTCTCTTTTCAGTTCTCCCGGTTTATTTATTTAATAGTTAAAGTTCTTTTTTCAGTTCTCCCGATTTATTTATTTAATAGTTAAAGTTCTTTTTTCAGTTCTCCCGATTTACTTATTTAATAGTTAAAGTTTTATATTCCTCAAGAATAGTTTCAAAGAATAAGATTATTTTAAAAAATATTCTACTTCCTCTCCTATAAAGAAACATGTTAATCGTGCAGATTTTTAAGCAGTTATAGTTTCTGACTGCAAGGCTTCATTTAATTTTTTATTTCTTGTAGTATTAAATTTCATGCAGGTAACGTAAGTAAAAAATTTTACTTGGTCTGCTTTAAAAATGCCACTATTTTCAGCCTTTGGCAATGATTTATCACTTGATGTCATATCTTTTAATAACCAATCAAGGTACTTTGAAAAACTAGAGATACAATTATTTTACAAGTGTTTGTTTATGATGCTCACTGCATATTGATATAACCTTTGAATGCTTTTTTTAATTTATTTTATTTTTTATACATATATCCGATATGTCACACACATCTAATTTAATGGCAGCCAATAGACCATTCTTGGATTGTTTACGACACAAAACTCTTTAAATATGTCTTGGTGTCTTCCAAAGTTGAAACTTAAAAATTTTTTTTAAATGAATTTCTGAACTTTCATAGCTAATTTGATGCCTCTTCTACTTGTTTACCCAAGTCAAGTGTCTTATTTTCCTCACCCTTGTTCTACCTCTGGTTGTACAGTCAAAAGTCGTTAATTCGGACACCCATAATTCGGAATGATCTATAATCCAGACATCAAAACTAAAAACTTTATGCGCATGCGCCACGTTGACACATGCGCAGAGGCGTTCACGCGTGCGCGTAAGACCTTTTACGACTGCGCATATGAGTGTGCGCAAGTGCAGAATACGTTTTTGCGTGCGCATTTTATGTATAATGGACGTATAAGCTAAAATTATCTAATTATCTATTTCAGTTAATGTTGATGATTGCGTTGTTCCTTAATTTTCGAATTGCATCCGGCTTATTATTTTTTGCAGACTGTAAGAGCAATTTTATAAAAGTAAGCTTAAACTTTCGATTATATCAAATAGAATTTCCGATATATATTTGTTAATATGTAAAGGATCTAAAGTGAAAGTATGTTTTGAAATCCGAAATCTGTTTATCAATTTCACGCTGCTCGGCGGCGGGCGCCTAATGAATTGGAAGTTGATTTGTCAGCACTATCTTTATCTTCAGCGCAGATGTTTTTATTTTATTTGGCTTATAATTCCTTACCAAATGTAGTATTTCATCTCGATATGCTCCGTCTTTGATATGATTTAAAACAAGTTCCTCGTCATTATAATTCGCTTCCGATAGCGAAGAAAAGTGACAGAGGTTATTGAAACGAAAAAAATTTCGATTGACAAATTAGTCGGTGTTCTTGACACAGCAATTATAGGACTTGAAACGGCGGAACTTTGTAACTGAACAAGAAATTATATCTGTTTAATAGAATTAAAGAGAAAGTATTATCACATGAAACGAAGCAAAACTTAAACAACTTACATTGAAAGAAATGTTTAATGAAGTAAACAAAAATAATATTAAGCTTTTTCTTTTTGCAAATTTTGATACCCTTTAGATCATAATTGTTCTTTATTTCATAAATTAAGGTTTCATATTTTTAATTTTAGAATTTCTGCATGCCATCTTACGAGATTTAAACTGATGATCTATAATCCGGAAAAATTGATAATCCGGAATCGCCGAAGTCCCGACGAGTCCGGATTAACGACTTTTGACTGTATTATTTATTTATTTGTTTTACAGCCACAAATATTTTTTATCAGTTTGTTTATAATTTGGAATTGTGCCATATATTTTAAATCCACATTCAGTATATTTTAAATTAAAATTCTCAAAAGCTCTTTCATGTAAAAGTTTTGATAGTAATTAAAAAATATTTTATCAAGTTAATTAATTAACATATAAGACAACTAAAAATAAAATTTATATCCATTTCTATCTTAATGACTTACTTCAAATTATAACAAAAACAAACCTTAAGAATTTTGTCAAGTCCTCCAACATCTTCAAAAGTTACAGATGGTAGTTTCACAGCTAAAAAATTAACAAAACCAATTTAAAAAACAATAAATTAAAATATAATAAGACTCAAAACCTGCATGCATAAATTTTCAATACATAAAAACAAACAAATAAAAAGCAAACCAACAAAATATTTTTATATATTAAAAAAAAATAGCTTTGAATAATTTTTGTAAACCTAATAAATAAAGGAATACTACTTTCCATAGTTAATAATTCCCTATGAAAATGTTAAATCAAGTTGTATAAATTGAATATACAAATATGTAAAAATACTGAAATTAATCCGCCTGCTTCTTACCATCCTTTTTAAATGTCTTTCTTTAACTAATTAAATAAAATTAAAATGTAAAATGAAACAAAATTATATCATCAAAATTTATTATATGCTTTTTTTTTATAAAACCATCTAAAATAATTCAAAGGAATTTTTATTTTATTTTCTCTTCATATACATATATATATATACAGTACAAAGTCTGTAATCCGGACTCGTCGAGACTTGGCAGCCAATAGACCATTCTTGGATTGTTTACGACACAAAACTCTTTAAATATGTCTTGGTGTCTTCCAAAGTTGAAACTTAAAATTTTTTTTTAAATGAATTTCTGAACTTTTCATAGCTAATTTGATGCCTCTTCTACTTGTTTACCCAAGTCAAGTGTCTTATTTTCCTCACCCTTGTTCTACGATTCCAAATAAGGGTTTTTCCGGATTATAGATCATCAATTTAAATCTGGTAAGATGGTATGCAGAAATTATACAATTAAAAATATGAAACTGTAATTTATGAAATAAAGAGCAATTATGATCTAAAGGGTATCAAAATTTACAAAAAAAAGCTTAATATTTATTTGTTTACTTTAGTAAACATTTCTTTCAATGTAAGTTGTTCAAGTTGCTTCATTTTTTGTGCTAAACGTGCATGAGTAAAGCATACAAAAAAAAAAGTCTGGATTAGAGATCATTCCGGATAATGGATGTCCGGATTACATACTTTGTACTGTATCTATATATATATATAGGGTGGCCATAACAAAACTTCCCCGATGTATAAAACCCTAGTGACTTAATGACTTACTTCAAAGGCTTACTTTAGAAAAATAGCCTAATGACTTACTTTAAAACAATAGAGCTCTCCTAATTACAGTTATAGTGAAAAAAGTTTTTAATTTTCAAATGGCGATACCCACTTTTTCCCTGCACAAATCTATCGGCACATTGAAAAAACACTAGATTACACTAGAACAATACACATATGACAAAAATTGCTAGAGTAAAACATTTGCAAATAAGAACATTGTAAAAGACCAATAACAATACAAGAAGGAAGAGGGACAAAACTTTACTTGTATTATCACGTACTGAAATATCTAACATTCATTTCATTTATCAATGTTTATATTAAAAATTTCTAATCAAATCCACATTCTACAACAGCATAACTGCCTTCAGTCAATCTTCTGATATTTATTCCAATTTTATAAATATTCATTTTAATTCTAATCGAGATCTGTGAAGATTACTTGTATTCTTCCATGCCCACATTAATGACCATGCAGTTACAAACCTTGATTTATGTTGTCATAGATAAGCAGCTATATGTAGAACCATTTCCAAAATACAGGAATTACAGAATTCTCTACAATAATCAGGTGAAGCTTCATTTGCATCAATAATTTGCTCCACTAGAACCAAGCAGCTCAATCTATTCCAAGAGAAACCAACTCATAGCCAAAAAGCATACAGCATTTGCCTCAGATTTCTTAATATATCCATACCATCATAAAAATTGTAGTAAAATTCATCACCCCCCTACATTGTGTCTGTATTGCTCTGCAGGCCAATTACAATAAGCTTTGCATTACTATAACTTCCCCTGAGCAGTAAGCAGAGACTGCTATCATAACTTGTAGCCTTTTATAGGCAGCTTTTCACTTATGGTGAACTATATGTTTCAGTTTGAACCCAAAAGTCTTGACGTATGATAAAATTTGCTAATGATACTGAAAGAAGGTAAATAAATTTTTCCAGACAATCCTCAGTAAATTTTTCTGATCTGTATTTGTAAATTTATGAAAGCCATCAATCTTTACATCACAGTTATTCTTGGATATATTTTACAGTTTATTTAGCATTAATCGCATTCAGAATAGGAAATATTTAATATGCCCAGAATCACTATGAAAAGATTTCCCACTTGCATAGCACACACTGTCTGAGTCTCAGCAAAGTAACTGAGTTAATCTATATGGCATATTTGTAGTGACCGATTATTTCTGGTAAGATTAAATGCAATTCATTCTGTTCAAAGGTATTTATGGCACCAGCCATCCTGTTACACAGGGCTGGATTTACATATAAGCTACACAGGCTATAGCTCAGGGCCTCCAAAAAATTAAAAGTATAGTATAAGAGACTTATAAAGGGCCCCATATCTAAAATAGCTTAGGACCTTATTAAGTATAAATCTGGCTCTGCTGTTCTAGATATCACCTAAATCCTTCACATCTGAGGAATTCCACAGTTCTTTTGGTGAGATAATGAAAATTTAATTGGTATACAAAGAAATATTTATGAGTTTATCTATCTCCTCCCTTTCCATAAATAATTAATATGCTCTAAAGAGCAAATAAGTTTCTTTGTGTGACATTGTGTTCAAATTAGAGCTAAATAGGAAAACTAAAAATAAAACAATGAGACAACTTTGAAAATAATAATAATAATTTAAATGACCAATAAGTACTTTACTCAGATTCAAGACACTAAATACTCCAACAGCAGCTGTTAGAAATATTCTTCATGAGAAACTTCCTTGTTATTGAATTCCTCATTACTTAGCCCCCAAACAGCATAGGTTCTGAATAAGTTTCCCATTTAATTGGCACATATCGTCTGTATCTCTCGGCAAAGTAACCAAGTTAATCTGTATGGCCTATGTATTGCACTGATTTTTATTTTTGGTAAGGTAAGCGCAATTCATTCTGTTCAAAAAGTATTTATAGCAGATGAGCAAGGGGGGAAAAACACTTAAAAGATCAGGTGAAAGATTTCAAAAGCAATACTATAAGTTCTTAGTTTCATAAATAGCATCTATAAACCAAACATTATATAGGTTTTACGTGTTGAGGATTCTCCCAACAAGATCAAGACAGGCGAAAATACTTACTTCCATTCTTCACTGCTTTATGTTCAATTTATTTTTCTATCTTTTTTTTTTTTTTTTTTTTTTTTTTTTTTTTTTTTGTTTTTAATTTTTCCTTTTAAAAAAATATTTAAAAAAATATTTAAAAAATTATTAATTTTTCTTTTAAAATTTTTCATTTCTTGAACTTTTTGGAATTGGTACTTTATGGCATAGTTCACTGGAATAAATGTTGACTTCAAACTGCAGTTCTTAGTTTTCATTAAATTTGCATTTTTAATAGTATTTTCATTTTATTAATTTGATTTTGGGCATAACCATGTAATTCCAATTACAGAAGTGTTTTAAGAGATGAAAACCTTCATGTTTTGGCAAAGTCAAATTAAAAATTACTTTGGATTTAAAAAAAAAAAAAAAAATTACTTTGGATATATAATGAAATCTAACTTTTAGTGCGAGCTCCTGGCTCCTATACTTATCTTTGGGAAAGTTTTATAGTCATTATGAAAAAAAATATAATTAGAAAAGGTTTGACTCGATTTTAGTAGTAAATGTGGCTCCTGCCAAAAGAAACAAACACAGTGCTTGTTTCAAATGCAAAGTCATTCATTTTATGAAAGAAAATGGAAATTATGTTGCAGCAACGATGTTTGGTGTTGGCGAAAGCTTCATACGTGAGTGGAAGAAAAATGGAATCACAATAATTAATATGTGAAAGAATTAATATTCTTTGTGTAAAGGAATAATGAAATGGCCTATCCTAAAAGAAAGTATTACAAATTGTATTATTGTTTCTAATGGGTTCCTAGAAAATCGCCAGAATAGATTCATTGTAATAAACAAAGCATATGTTTATTTGCCTTAAAGTGGCCAAAAAGAAAGACAGTGAAAATTTTAAACCAACCTTGAGTTGGTGTAGTCAATTTATGAAATGGAGTAATTTAGTTCTATAAGAAAAAGAAAAAGTTTCACAAAGGCTTTCGAAAGACATGGACAATAATTTGATTAGTTTTCAGAAGTATATTACTGAACTACGAAAGCAAAAAAATTATTTACTGTTACCTGTTGGAAATATGAATAAAACTCTAGTAATGTTTGCAATAATTGGAAATAAAACAATTGATGTGAAAGGAACAAAAATGGTTCACATAAAAACAACAGGTCACGAAAGATCTCACCTTACCTTAGAGCTTTCCTGCTTAGCAGATGGCATAAAATTTAAACTTATGGTAATTTATAAAAGAAAGACAATTCTAAAATGTAATTTCCCAAACGTTATTTTCATGAGAAACGATGAATGGATGAAAATGGTGTGAAATTGTGGATAAGGAAATAAGAAATGTTTGACAAAAGCATTCTCTTGCTTTAAAGAATCCAGAAAATCTTTTAGTCTGGGAAATGTTCAGATCCCATTGCTTGGATAATATGAAGAAATCATTGAAAGAATGTAACACAGTAAAAATCTTTAATCCGGACTCATCAGGTCTTCGGTGATTCCGGATTATCGATTTTTACAGATTATAGATCATCAGTTTAAATCTGGTAAGATGGCATGCAGAAATTATAAAATTAAAAATATGAAACCGTAATTTATGAAATAAAGAACAATTATGATCTAAAGGGTATCAAATTTTACAAAAAAAGAAAGCTTAATATTTATTTTTTTACTTTATTAAACATTTCTTTTAATGTAAGTTGTTTAAGTTGCTTCATTTTATGTGATAATACTTTCTCTTTAATTCTATAAACAGACATAATTTCTTGTTCAGTTACAAAGTTCCACTGTTCAAGTCCTATAATTGCTGTGTCGAGAATACCAACTAATTTGTCAATAGAAATTTTTTCGTTTTCAATAACCTCTGTGTCACTTTCTTCACTATCGGAACCAAATTATAATGACGAAGAATTTGATTTAAATCATATCAAAGATGGAGTACATCGAGATGAAATACTACATTTAGTAAGGAATTATAAGCCAAAAAAAATAAAAGCATCTGCCCTGAAGATAAGGATAGTGCTGACAGATCAACTTCCAATTCATTGCGCGCGATGACGTTGAAAAAACATTTACAAAAGGCAGCCAAATGCATCATGCCAGCTTAGAAATATAGTGTGAGGGGATAATAAATATATGGGCATAAACCCAACATAATTTAAAAGTCATTTAACACTGAAGCACGTGCCCTGGGTCCAAAAGACCCTGCTCCTGTTTTTTGAAGAAAAAACTGTTACTCTTCAGGTAAAAGAGACATTTATGCCAAAATTTTATGATAAAAAAAAAAAAAAAAAAAAAAAAAAAAAAAAAAAAATGCAAACTATAAAAATTAAAATTAAAATTTCTATAATATTCTTTATGAAATAAAACTTTTTAAAGGAAAAGAAAATGTATTATATTAATATAGAATTTATTAGGAATTCATTATATTATTATTCAGGTTATTCAGGAATTATTATTCAGGCTTATCAGGAATATACTGCTTAAAAGAACATCTTCCTCAGAAGGCTTCAAGTTTTATATTAATTGTTATGAACTTAATGACAGTGTAATATTTCTGGCAGTTATTCACAAAATCTTCAAAAAACTCTCTTATAGGTGCAAGTTTATCTGATTCGTTCTTGACCACGCGAGTTCCTATGTTATCAAAACATAAACATTTTTTATAAAAAAAAAAAAAAAAAAAAAAAACATTTGTGTGACATAGTTTTTTGGAAAATTTCCAAGCTGGTTCCGTCTATTGCCAGCAGATCCCGCACATTTACATGAGATGACTTATGTCACAAAAATATAAAAGCATGAATTTCAGTTAGAGTTGTGTTATGAACATCTCTCTCTCTCTTTGAAAGCTGTCAGAAATAGATGCAATATAAATATTTGTATAACTGACGACTTTCAGCAACATTTGTTCACTTAGTAAAAGTTACCACAATTCACTTGGAGTTTACAAATATTTTGCCTTACTGATGTTTCCAGGCAAGTAATAATATTATGAGCAGAAGTTCTAATATCAGCTTTAGACTTTCTTTTTACCATTGGGTTTTTTGTATTTTCCAATAAAGCAATAAATGTCATTCTCATTTTCGTTTTCAGAATGCATCTCGATTTCTGAATCAGTGTCATGAGAACTTAAAAAATCCATTATAACTTTCATCATCAGTTTCTTCAATGGAGCCTTCAATAGTTGATACATCAAATAATTTTTACAAACGTAACATTTCTTCCTTATAGGATAAATTATGCCGCATGTTTGGAGTTTTCTGTGCTGCCACAAATGAACTACTTTACACCAATGCGAATAGGCATCTGAAAGACCCGATCTGATTAAAAAAAAACTTTGAATAAAATTTCCAGCTAAAACTTCGAAAACATAAAGAGGTAGCCTTGGAGGAGACTACACTGAATTACAACCACTTGAGAAAAATAGGGGCGTTTTCAGAAAGGTTTCTTTAATCGGGCGAGTCCAATGGACCCAACGCGTGCGCTCGTGGGTTAAAAAATGTGCAGTATATCAAACATACAAACAAAGTATATCAAAACATTTATGGATCATAGTAATAATGATTGTGAAGATGAAACAGAATTAAATGATGTATTCAAAGATGTAACAGAAAACAAATATAACGAACTTTTCATGTTATCTGATAATGAAAATTTTTAAACTCACAAGGTATGTCATTTCTTTTAAATAAGCAGCATTTAGATACATGTAGAAATGTAATTTTTTAGTATGCTCATCTTTTCTTTATTTTTAAATCAATCATTTTTATATCTGGCATATATCATGCACTCATAAATTTCGATCTTATTTTTTTTTATTACAAATGTATGTTATATGCCAGAATAAATGGTCAGTTAATAGTATTTTTTCATCACCTTATACTATTTTGATTGAGAAAACCTTCATGCTTCACTGGAATATTCCAGTTATGCAAAATAGGTATTCAATATTACACTAAATTCAAGCATTTTTATTAATATGGCAAGTTAATATTAAAGTTAATATTAAATCTTTATATGTACAAATAAATGCAGATTAAATGCAAAACTTCTGTTTTTAGACTATACAATGCATTATTATTTTTTTCCGAGATTGGGGGAAAAAAAAGTTTAATAATATAACAATAAATGTTAAAAAAGAACATAATATAAATACATAAACAAACATTCATACTTAGAGTTTTCTTTCTTTCAGATTTTTTTAGACCTTTGGTGGATGTTTTTACGCTCTCGCTTTCTTTGTTTTCAAGTAACTATAAAAAATAAATTCCATTTATTTCACAAATTATTAAGTAATGTAACAAAATAAAAATATCAACTCTCACAAAAGAAGTTTAGAGCCCAGCTTCTGCTTGTTGCATTTAACAGTAATAGAACAATTATAAGAAATAAAAATACAACAAATTCTTTGTTAAGGGAAGGGAAATGGCGATTCTGTAACCAAGTATACATGGAATTCAAAATGCTATTTTGCTAACTACATAGAATTTTCTAAACAAACTCTTAAAACAACAACTAACTGAATTGAGAAGTTTTCCTCCCTTTATAAGCTTTTTAAATCACGCACGAGATTGTTCTAGCAATTTCTCGAAATCAAAACGAGGTATATATTTATTAAATGTTAACCTTTTCGCTGCACATCCCGCGATTATCATGTGCAACGTAAAAGTAGCAAAATTTGCGCAACCCGCGATTTCCATGGGAAAGAATTTTTGCCGTCTATTTAACTGTGCAACCCGTTCTTTCCCCATTCAAGGTTTCCTTTCGGCTTTTCTGTGATGTTTAATTGTTTATTTAGATTTGGGCTAACCGATGGCGTTAGTTGTCCACATTTCTGCCAAATATACAAGAATACGTAATGCAGCATTTTGAGTGTGCTTTTCAGAGCTCAAAGATGTCCGGCAGGAAGCGTTTCGCGAGTGATATAACCTATACTCCAGAGGATATTTCCGACACTGAGAGTAGTTCTGATTCTGATATCAAGTATATTGAAGATAGTTATAGCGAAACTGATAAGAATTTCTTGGATTCTTCTGCAGATAGTGATGAATCTGAAAATTCAGTTTCTATTGAAAACGTTCAACAGTGGTGAAAACCTGATAGTTTATATTAGTATATATATTTTACCTTTGTATTTTATAAAAAAAATCATAATTTAACCAATATTAATTTTCAAAATTTTCCTTTTATATCATTATTCTTCAATTTCAGTGTTCTGACAACCTTTTTCTATGATCTAATTCTATATTGAAAAAAAAATCTTTTACAAAAATTTTTTGTATATTTTAACTCTAAAATATATTTAGATTTGAAATATGTAATAAAAAAATACGGAATTTTTTAACCTATTTTGATAAAAAAAAAAAAAGTACGCAGTGAGAAGGTTAAATGCACAAGCTCTTGTATTTTTAATTTTCCGGCTTAGCTTTCTTTTAATATTCATCATTAGTTGCACTGCACGAGGAATAAAACAATTTTATTTGTAATTCTACTCACATTAACTATTTAAATACCAAATCTGTAACAATATATATATTGTTAAGGATTTTGTATTCCGCAAATATATATACCGTCAAAAGTCTTTAATCCGGACCTCAAAGCTACAAACTTTCTGTGCATTGCCTTTACGCATGCGCATAATACCTTTACGCATGTGCATATGAATTTACACATGCGCATTTAATGTATGACGGACGGTATAAGCTAAGCTAAAATTATTTATTTCAGTTACTGTTGCAGATTGCGTAGTTCCTTAATCTTCAAATTGGATCCGGCTTATTATTTTTTGCAGACTGTTAGCAATTTTATAAAAGTAAGTTGAACTTTCGATTATGTCAAATAAAATTTCCGATTCTGGAGCTGCCAAAGGATATATAAAGCGAAAGTTGTAAATAAGCGATGTCCATTAAACAAAAAGTGGAATTGCTGCAAAAAATGGATAAAGGCATGAAAAAAGTGACAGAGAGGTGATCTGTTTCTCTAACCATTCCAAAATCTGTTTATCAATTTCACATTGCGCTGCAGGGGGGGGGGGGATGTCGCGTTGCGCAATGAACTGGAAGTTGATCTGTCAGCACTATCCTCATCTTTGGGCAGATGTTTTTATTTTATTCAGTTTATAATTCCTTACTAAATGTAGTGTTTCATCTCGATGTACTCCGATATGATTTAAATCAATTTCCTCGTCATTATAAATATCACGATTAAGCATAAAATAGTTTTCTGGTTGCAATTTTCTAATTTCGACTATGCGTAATGTATGCTTTACGCATGCATGCGTTGAGAGAAATGTTTAATAAAGTAAACAAATAAATATTAAGCTTTTTTTTTTGTAAATTTTGATACCCTTTAGATCACAATTGCTCTTTATTTCATAAATTACGATTTCATATTTTTAATTGTATAATTTCTGCATGCCATCTTACCAGATTTAAACTGATGATCTATAATTTGGAATCGCCAAAGTCCCGTCGAGTCCGGATTAAAGACTTTTGACTGTATTACATCTTAATGACTAAATAAGAAAAAGATCAGTAGCTCAAGTAAAACATGAAACGTAGTAATATTGCAACAAAGTGAACTCTTCAACTTTACTGTGGCCTTTATTTTATCAGATTTTAGAAGGAATATAAAATTAGAACATAAAAAATATACCCATTTTAATTTTTTTACATAAGATTAATACTCACAGTTTGTTTTTCTGCAGTCGTATTATCAGCACAATCTCCTTCCTTCTTTTCCATAAAATTCTTTTCTGGAAGATTCTGCTTATACATGCGTAACAGACTTTCATTCAGTAAATTACGTTTCTGAAAGTAAATTAATAATCTATACTTGCAATGAAATAAAATTCTTAAATTGCTATAATAATTTTCTTCATATTAAAAAAAAAAAGAGGCATGTCAACCACTGTGTGCAAAGTGTGTGGCATACTAGTAGAAACACCAAAAATTTCAGGTGAAAAGAAAATATTAAAAAAAAAAAAAAAAAAAAAAAAAAAAAAAAAAAAAAAAAAAAGGAGCACTGTAGGTGCCATTTAACCCTGCAGTGCTCGCGCGACATCCCACAGACGCCAGGGATATTTCTTTTTTAAATGGCTTTATAAACGGATGCGCGATCAAGCTTGTGCTGCCATTTACCTTTCTGTCAACTATACACGACTAAGTAGAAATCACCGAAACAACGCCATTTTCATTTTAGTGCTGAGAGGAAGAGGTTATAAGCTGTGCACTACTGGAGTCTAGGAGACGCCACACGACCGTTTTTGATTCTAAATGTAAGTTTTTAAAATGTACATATTCTAGCATTTTAAATTTTTAATTATCAACAGCTGTCCTTAGTAGTGTTCTTTTTTTTTTTTTTTTTTTAATCATTTTTGTAATAGATAAAAGAAATTGTTTGTGAATATATTTAATTCTAAATGTAAAAAGAATGTATTTCTTCTGGTATTTATAATTTTATGGGCAACAATTGTTTTTAGTTATTTTCTTACCTTTAAGTCAAGATAACTTCTCAGAAAAAATTCAATATGGCAAATGAACGTGATAGAGAAATAAATGAATGCTTATGGAAAATAGATAAATGTCATAGAGAAATAAATGTATGCTTATGGAAGAAGATGAATCAGGTGATGAGTTTGATGATTATAGTGATATAGAAGAAGATAGAGTAGAAACAAGAGAAGAAAACACAGACACTGAGCAAGAAATAGACTCCAATGATAGCGATACTGATGATTATATTGAGAATAATTATTTTCTAGGCCGGAATAAATCATTAAAATGGTCAAAAGTTTGCCCACCTAAAAATATACGCACTCGGCGACATAATATTGTCACTCATTTACCAGGGGTGAAAGGTGTCGCGAAGAATGCTCGAACGCCGGAGCAATGTTGGGCATGTTTTTTCGACAATGGCATGCTATCTAATATAGTTAAATTCACAAATGAAAAGATATCCACAGTACAGGAAAATTATTCTCGTGGGGTATTGAGCTATGCCGTCTAATAATGTCTGAAAAGCGATTTAGGTTCCTTTTATATTGTTTGAGGTTCGACAATAAGGACACACGAGAGATAAGAAAGATAACTGACAATTTAGCGCCTATAAGTGATGTATTTTCTTCATTTGTTGAAAATTGTAAGAATGCTTATTCAATTGGAGAGTATTGTACAATTGATGAAAAGTTAGAAGCTTTTAGGGGTAAATGTTTCTTCAGGCAGTACATCCCTAGTAAACTAAATAAGTATGGGATAAAATTATTTGCATTAGTAGATGCTAGTATGTACTACACTGTAAACCTAGAAATATATGCTGGCAAGCAGCCTGCAGGTCCATTCGAAATTAGCAACAAACCAGCAGATGTTGTGAAACGGCTGAGTTCTGTAATCTCAGGAACAGGTCGCAATATAACTGTAGACTATTGGTTCACCTCGTGAGATTTAGCTAACTTTTTGCTTCAGAATAATCTTACTTTGGTTGGAACCATAAGAAAGAATAAGAGTGAAATTCCTCTAGAATTTACGCAAAGAATCGGGAAGTAGGAACATCATTGTTTGCATTTCGGAATGACTCAACTTTAATGTCTTATGTAACTAAGAAAAAACAAGATGGTTTTGATTCTCTCCACCATGCATCATGATGATGCAATTGATGAATCATCTGAAACAAACAAGCCACAGACGATAACCTTTTATAACGCAACTAAATCAGGAGTTGATACTGTTGACTAGTTGTGTAGCACTTACAATGTCGCTAGGAAAACGAACAGATGTCCTATGGTTATATTTTATAGTATGATGAATGTAGCAGCTATAAATGCTCAAATAATATATCATGCAAATAATTTATCAATCAGCACCAGACGCAGTGAGTTTTTAAAACTTTTGGGTCGTAATCTAGCTGATGATTCCTTGCGTAGACGCTTTCAGTGTTCATCATTACCTAGAAATCTCAAGCAGGATATTCAGAGCCTTTTGCCAGATAAGGGTACAGTTCAGCTTACAGAAGAGGCACGAGCTACTAAAAGGCAGAGATGTCATGAATGTGGCTGTTCCAAGAACAGGTACACTAAGTACAAATGCCGCAGTTGTAAAAAATTCTATGTTTAGAACACGCTCAGCAAATTTGCGCTTATTGCTAATTTGTGCAACTACCTAAATGAGATAATTTTACTTGTATTTTTCAGTTGTATTTGCTTAAGTTGAATAAAATTAAGTTTCACTGTAAACTGAAGTTTTGTTAAATATTGTTTGTAATATGATGCCACAAATATATATGTGTTATTTCAATAATCCCTTTGCATTCATAAATTTGAACTAAATTACCTAAATATATATTAGTACAGCAAAAATATACCTGGAGTCTGTGAGACGCCACGCGAGCACTGCAGGGTTAATATGATGGTATCTGTGTCTATTTCAATAAAATTAACCACATGATAACATTAAATGAGAAAAACAGAACATACTGAAAAATATACATATATAATTAGAGGGAAAAAATCATAAATGATCATCTGTAATTTATTAAAAGGTTGATATGCTTAAAACAGTTCTTTAACCTTCTTGTTTTTACTAGCTTATAATTTAAAATATTTTGCTTTCTTATATTCTTAAATATAAATATCATCTTAATGAATAATAACTTACAGAAACAGAGACTAAAATACGTAACAATACAAATTTGGCTAACAATTCTATTTAAATAACGGTTTCATAGCAGATTCAAAAATCTGTACCACTCAGATGGTTAATGATTTTTCTGAACCAAGACACATTCTGCAAATACAGTGCATCAAGAAGATTAATTTTCCTTGCCAGTTCATTTGCATTTATATCTGTATCTATGTTATAAAGCAGAGCTTCTTAAACTTTTTTTAGTCACAACCCCTTTTTATCACTGAGATTTTTTTGCGACCCCATAATACTTACGAAAATTTTATGCGACCCCCATAAGCATTGTGCAAATCTGACATGAGCACAAGAGAAAGTGTCATTTTTTTCACTTGTGCTGTAATATACTATTGCAGTTTTAGATCATTAACTTTAATTTCTAATTTTAAGACATAGAACAATGTGACAATTTTAAATAAGTAACAGACAAAATGACAGCATTATATGCAAAACAAGTAAAATGAACGTTTATATTATAAAAAGAAAGCATCAAAATTTTTTTGTTTGTTGGTATTTTTTTATTTTTACCTATTTTCAGATACATTCTGTAAAAATATTTGGTAATTGTAAAATTATTATGATAAGTTAAAGAAATTTCAAAACTGCTAAAATTTTTGGCAACCCCCAACCCACAGTTTAAGAAACCTGTTATAAAGGAATCTTCAGTTCACTATCAAAGCTGTTCATTAAATTAAATTAAAAATTACTGATGTCGTTTGAATCATATCTATACTACTAGCACACTCATGATTACTACTGCTTATTCATTGAAAGCACCAGGTTTTCTTTTTTCTTTTACCAGTCACTAAAAGTTTTCTTTTTTCCACAGACTCATTTTGTCAGCATTATAAATGTTTTCAGAACAATATTTCATAAAGAATTTAGACCACATATTTGACAACCATGTTACTGTACATAGTGGGTAAATCAACTAAACCAAACATCAGTTGCTATAAAATCATCCTTTTCCCCTTTATACCTAATTCTTCAGCTTTCTATTGCATAAATACATAGTAAAAATATATTTTAGGATGCCCCTTGGCAAAAATTGGTGATTTTTGGCGATTGGCCAGCAAGGCACAATTTCAAGATGGCTGCTACACAAAACCAAAATAATAAGTCAAAGAATTACACAAACTCAGTGTCCATGTACACATCGATCTATTTCCACTTAAAAAACATCAGAGAATTGCACAAACTCAGCACTGCACACTCCCTTGACTTTGTCCATGCACACATTGATCTCTTTTCACTTAAAAAAAAATTAGGAGAATGATGATGTCATATAATGTCAAAACAAAGTTACTTATCACCACAACTGAACAAAATTTGTAGCTAATCGAAGCTCAATACACTGCATTTTAAATCACACAAATAATATAAAGAAGGAAATACATGTTATCACATAAATGCACTACAAAAAGGAAATACCAATATACCACATTTAGAAATTTCTGTATCTTCTGCTGTGGCACACAAAAATCCGGTTTCCGGATTCTTAAATGTCACTGCGTGATTTACTGAGAAGTGAAAGAAGCCATTATCAAAAAGACAATCATATGACTTCCAGCAGTTGGATATGATTGTTATTCCAGGTAAAATATCCTGTCATCTACAAAGTTTCTCTGTCCTCAACCACTTTTAAAAAAAAAAAAAAAAAAAAAAATCACCTTCCGCTCTCTTGTTCTATATCACCAAACACCCAGTTTACCACTGGCAGCCATTTTTCGATAGAAATCACAAAATACGCAATGTACTTCTAACTGATATGCAACACAGGAATAAGCCCTTACAAATATTTTACCATCAGTCAAATTCACTGCAATCACAGAACCAATTATATCATAATAGGGTTTCTATCGGGGTTGGATTTACGTATAAGCTAGACAAGCTATAGCTTAAGCCCCCACTTTCTTGGTCCCCCCCAAATTAAAATATAGTATAAATAATATTAAAATATATTATAACAGACTTAGAAAGGGCCCCATGTCTCAAATAGCTTAGAGCCTTATCAAGTCTAAATCTGGCTCTGTTTTCCATAACATTCTACTACTCAGGTTACCCATAAAACCATAAATGAAATAACAATTTGGCAATAAATGAAACAACTTGACAATCATCCAAGGAGCACCCTAAAATGTAGACTAATCAAATACACCACTGACTGCCACATACCTATCATTATCAAACCTTCAGCTGTTTTCTCAACATTGTGATCTTCCACATTATGCATCTGTTTCATGTTTTCCTTTGATTCACAAATACAGTACAAACTATGAGATCTGACTAAGGACTTCAGCTATTCTGGATTTTAGATCATCAGTTTAAATCTAATAAGAATGCCTGTATTTGCTCGTGTCATAATCGTTATTGTTACTCTGGATTCTTTGATACCACATAGGACTCGTCTGCAGAGGTCGCCTAAGTATTTTGAGGCATATATATCTAGACAAGACCATTTTTGTCAATACTGTAAATTTTCTCTGGAGATAACTTTTCCTATTAAAAAGTTCAATCAAGTCATCTACAAACTGTTTAGCTGCTTGAGCATTTTCGTCTAAAATTTTTAACTGCGTTGTGTTATGGTGCTTCTTCCATTATCTTTATGATATATTTTGGCTTGAGCCATTAGTATTAGACCCATCAATGTTTTGCCCTTGTTGCAATGTTGTCGTCATCACTTTGTCACGACGACAACATTGCAACATTAAGATAATGAATGATTTTTTCTTTTAAGGTCAGTTTACACCTCTCAGAGCGGCTCGGAGCGAGTCGCTCCTTATGATTACTTTGACAATGTAAACGCTCACTTCGACGGAGTACAAACGTAAGGGAGATGAGTCAGCGCTTCCGTTTCTACTTTGAACCTGTTGAAAAACCTCTCCGGGCAGCGTTCGCAGGGACGTCGTGATAGTGAGTTCTATAATCCGAGATTAAATGATAGCCAAACCATGGCATTTTTTTTTAATGCATACGCATCTTATGAAGTGTTTTACTTCTATAATTATGTGAGCTTATATTCATTTTTCTACAAGCATCCCTACATGAGGATGCAATAAATATATGTTAAACTATAAAAATAAAACAAAATTATGAAAAAGATATGTAGATCTGTTTTATTGGGGATATTTAAATTTTCTGCTTTGTATAAAACATTCTGGGCTATAATTCGTTACAATCAGCTTGGATGTGAAACATGTTCAGCTTGGATGTGTGAGTGCAAGTACTGAAGGTGTATTAAGGTTTATACAAATTATGCTAGATGAATTCTAATCTCCTTAAACTATCCGTTTTAGCATTTTAAAAGTATAATCGCTATATTTACGCATTATTAATTTTGTTGATATCACTTTGTGTGTTGTCCAGAAACACAATTTCAGTAGGATTTAAAAGTAACAATTTGTGATAAATATTTTCCTCTTGGAACTATGTCATAATATATATATTCTTTTACCTGTGGTAATATATGTAATGCTCCCAAGTTTTTTGCTACTTCTTATTTATTAAGATTTTCTGAATAATTAGGTAGATATCATACAGTTTACTTCTGTCGTGTTTAATGGTTAGCTTTGAATAAATATTCCATGTGTTAATTTTGCATTCTTCTCTAGAAATAAACACAGTTCCAGTCAGAACTCTGCATAATTAATTCATGCACAGAGAGCTACTGATTCTGTGGATTCTGAATGAATATATTCTTTCTATTAATAAATAATAAAACACATTATTAATTTTACATTATTTTGTAAATGATTAATTTGGTGTAAATAAATAAAACAGTTGTATATAGTAGAAAAAAACTTTGTTAATTTGACTTTCAGTAACCACAGTTGACTAAATAACTTCTCTCAAACTGAGTTCTTTTAAATTCTTGTATTGATATGCAATAACGTTTTTGTAACTTTGCACATTCTCGTCCGAAATTCAGTTAATAGTTCATTTGATACTCCTAATTCATCGCGGCAAGCTACCAATCACGTACCCCCCCTTTTTTTTTTTTTTTTTTTTTTTTTTTTTTTTCTTTTTTTTTTTTTTTTTTTTTTTTTTTTTTTTTTTTTTTCTTTTTTTTTTTTTTTTTCCCTCCCAAGAGCAGAAATTAATTCGTTTGAAACTGCTTCGCAGACTTCAAGCACTGCAGCCTAAGAACATCTATGTATGTTCAATGCATATTCTTTCCTGCAGCTGCGACGTTGGTATCCATTTCGTAAACAAACGAAGGTGAGTTGTCAGTCCACTCTGATTGGTGTAAACAATCTATCAGAGTACAGGTCCATTCACTCGGTTCGAAACGCCCGGACGAGGGGCTCGCTACGAGCAGCTTTGACAGATGTAAACTGACCTTTAGTCAGACTAATTAAAGTATCAGAATTTGGGGGGGGGCCGAAAAAAAAAAACCAGAAAAACCTTTTAATGTTTTTTATTATTCATTTCCCATCTCGAAGAATTTCAAGATGCATATGCCTTTACTCGTTTTTACGATTCCACTTTTGGCTTAATAGACACTGAAACATACTTTCGCTCTGCATATTCTGCTGCAGCTTTAAAAACTAGAAGCTCTTTTCAATATAGTCAAAAATTCAAGCTTTAATACTGATAACATAACTATAATAAAAACAACCAACAAAAAATAACAAAATGGATTAAATTAGTATTAACTGCACTTAGGTTCTTTGGAATGAGTCTTTCTCCCTTCCTCACTGCTATGCCAACAAAAGAAAAATAACATGACACCTGAATTCCAACAAATATGTCTTGAGGTTTCAGTTTTTGTTTACATCGAAAAAAAAAATGCTAACTCCCTACAACCACTCAAGGTCGGAAAGTGTGGTCGTTACCAAGATCAATAGATTAATCAATCAATGTACTGTCACTGGCCAGTCTAGGGTCCTAGCCAGTGGGTGTCTGAAAATGACATGCAGAAATCGCTTTTACGATATGCAGAGAAAAATCGCTTTTACGGCATGACTGATTTTTGTTGAGTATTATTTTCTTCACTAAGACTTGATATGGAAAAAACTCCCCCCCTTTGTCGTTCCGAGATCGGGGTGTTAGATCATTCCGGATGTAGGATGTCTGGATTTCGGACTTCATATTATATTGTAAGGAAAGGGCAAACATTTAATCTCACAAACCTTAGAACTTGTATGGCATTTTGTATTAAAAAAAAGGGGAAAGTGCAGAATCACACACAGCTTGCTGTGTTTTTAAGAAATGCACATACTCGGTATCCATGTACACATCGACCTATTTTCACTTAAAAAAAAAACATCTCAAAGTGCACAAAAATGGCATTGTGCACTCCCTTGACTCCATGTACACATCGACTTATTTTCACTTTAAAAAGTCAAAAAAAAAAAAAAAAAAAAAAAAAAAAAAAAAAAAAAAAAAAAATTGACAAAAATCCAAGTCTTCTTACTCTTGTAAAAAGAGCCAAAGAAATAAGTGGGCTATTCTGCATTTTTCCCAAAATAAAACTCTCTGACATGTGGCCTAATATTAACACTCAATAGTCTAAAAAGCAATGTAAGAAAATGATAATATAACTTAATATAAATGGTATGGCTTAATGCAATAAAACATCGTAAAAACAAAAAGTCAAACATAGCAATTACCGATTCCGGAGCTGGATTAGGCGAAAGAACTGACTCGGATCCTGATTGACGCCGTTTCTTTCTATCATAAACAACTAATCCATTCAAACCTCGTTTTCGTACCATCCTTTAAATGATGTTGAGAATTAAATTATTACGATAAACGACCCGCTCCAGCAGGTCTTCTTATCCTTTGATCACAAATATAGCCCTGAATAAAAATTTTAAAAGAACTATTTTGACTAGGAAAACATTAAAAATTAAGTGTAACTTCCCACATGTCTCTACTCGAAGAACAGTAAAGTTCACAGAGTTTTGCAAGTTTAAATCATCTTTTACTTGACTGGGTAAAATTACGATGCGAGTAAATAACTGAAGATACGTTAGGCAATAAACCATACCGTATAAAAGAGGAATATTTAGGATAAGGTTCGGAGAACAGCCTTAACGCCAAAACGGAGAGAAACAGCTTATTATGGTAGACTACCTTATGGTTGTCATCCGATGACGTACTTCTTCTAAGAGGACAGCGTGATACTTTTTTCCCTGCTAAGGGATTATCTGTGGCAGCAGATCGGGATACGTATTCGAAAAATGTATTATCTTACCTGTTTGCTTATCAAGCGAAGAGTATTAAATTAGAAATAGCAATTAATTGAATAAAATATTGATAATATATGTAAAAATAAGTGTCTTGCACCTGTAAATATTTATTTAATGCTTTATTTTCTGTTTTCATTTGCTTTGTTATGCTTCCCTATACTCATCGATGTTCAAACATGGTTTATTCTATAGCTTTTTAGTATTTATTTTATGTGCATTGATTGCAAGTAGTCTATAAACATTTTCTTGTGCATTCATATCGTAGTGCAATAAAATAAGTCAATGTGTGCTTTCATATCATATTCATAGTGATCATATTCTAATCTGAATTCAGAGGAACTTTAAATTTGCCTATAGAGTGGCAGTTTTACTTCACAGTTGCTAGAAATATCTGGCTTAAACAGACCTAAGTTCTCAGACTAAACATATTTGCAGTATATTTGTTCTGGGACATTTGTAGCCTCAGTCTGATATTTAGTTTATAGCACATTTAATATTTTTAGTATTTATTGTACGAATTAGAAATAATAATAACTTTTTAGAAATATGTATGCAATAAATTTGTGTGCTGTTAGACATGATAATGCTCTTAAGTCTTAATTCAAATTGTTCAAAATTTGACAAAATGCAATGGTATTGTATTTCATTTTTTAACTGCAGTATAAATATAAAAATTTCATTAAACCTGCTAGAAGGAACCATATTTTGTAGTATTTAAACATATTTAGTTACATGCATTATGTAATGGAAAGAGTAATTTGCATTAAAACATTTCCTCATCTTTTATAGTATTTTATATATATATATATGCATTATGAACTGAGAACTGTCTCAAAAATTTTAATAAATTTTTAATAAATTAATATTTCCTGATGTCATAAAATAATGCTGTATGCAGTTAATAAAAGTGGATTTAAATGCTATAAGAATAAACTAAAAATAGTTTGTTTCATTTTTTATTTTAATTGTCATAAATATAAATCATCTCCAACTTACAGAATGTGATAGTGAAAATTTTGCAGTATTATTTCCTTCATGATTTATTTAATTTAATTAAGTAAACTGAAGTCCTTGGTAATTGTTTATGATTACAGCAAGCAAGATATTTGAGAATTATTATAAATGAATTGTACAAATAGATAATGCAAACTTCATGCATTACAATGACAGTGGATCTTGTTTACGAAAGAGAGAGATTGATTCTACTGCAACTGCGGACCTTGTCAGCCAATTAGCATCACTGCAGCAGAGACTTGCTGAATAGCTTTCAAAGTATATGCCAATCACTTCTTTGTCATTGTGATGCATGTATTGCAGTTAGTAACAGTTCATCTGAACAATTCTGATAAATATCAAGCATTATTTCTTGTAAATATATCTATGATTAAAATGGCATTTTTTATTCTCTATGTTCTTTGCACTTAATATGTTTCTGTATTCATGTTTCACATTCCACAATACATTGTATTGCGAAAATTATTACTTAAGCCATGCTATATTATACCTTAGAGGCAAATAAAAATTAAATTTTATGTATATTAGGAATAGTATTTATATGATAGTTGAATATAGAGTTCATATCATAAGTCATATACATAACTACCCTATCAAAATGTTTTGCAATGAAATTTATTATCCCCTTTTTTACCAAATAAAAACAAAATGAGGCATTTAACACCTGTAAGCTATGTAAATAATGAGGCATAGAAAATCTGTAAGGCATGTAAATAATGAAACATGTAAAATCTGTTACTCATGTAAGAGCAATACAGTTATTCAACTAATATGTTTAACAATAATATTGATTCTAGATTAGCTAATTGCCCCCCTTTTTTGAAAAAAAAAAACATATAATAATGCATAGGACATTTTACAGAATTACAGCTAAACTCAAATCAAATTACATACTTTTTTAATTTACTTATTTAGTAATAGTTTGACTTATTTTATTTTATTGTGATTTTCATTTTTATTTTAATTTGATTTGGCTTGGTCTGCATGATTTGTTTATTATGGCAAAGTATGTGAGAGCTATTTGCATAAGCAGAAGCATGCTTTCATAGAGGACTTTCTAAAAGACACTCACTCGTATCCTCATTACACATGCAGCCAATCTGTTTACCTAGAATTGCACTCAGGTCAAACTACCAGCTTTGAGCAACTTTACTGCTCAAGCACTGGTGGGCACATTTTTGTTATGATGGAATAAATTTTTGCATTGTATTTTTACATTTTTCTTTGAAACAGTTATGTCTTTGAAACAGTTATGGACTTATTTTCTGTTTTTAAGCTGTGATATTGAGACTATTGTGGTGTCATTTTGCAAATGACTTGTATTCATACATGTGCCCCAAATAATACTTGTGTAATTAAAAACTTGCTCAATGCTTATTATGCAAAGTATTCAGTTTAAAAGTGTACCCTTCATAAAAATCATAATTGTACACATTCATAAGACATACCTTGTATATATCATACATTCAGGTTTCAGCCTTAGAAGGCCAGCGAGTGATGTTGTTCCATTTGGAAAGATTGATTGGAATGAGCCTGTGCGTGAATACTTCATAAAAAGATAGATACTTCATTTACTGAAGAATACTACTGAATTATATAGATATTGAAACTATCAAAGTGGTAGTACAAGAATTGGATCAGAGTATGGAATCATTAATCAAGGGATACTATGTATGGCTCGACAAATCTACTCCATAGATTGATCTTTGCATAAATTCACCTTTGAAAACTGCCAAAAATATTTAACAAAAAAAAAAGGGGGAGAACTCTTAATGTTATGCAATGAAAGGAATGGGTTTTTATTTCTATAGCAGGCTACACTTCCTGACAATAGATAAATTAAGTACACAAAGTAATGAAATCTTGCATCTTAAAAGGAAACCAGATACTTTTTCTGGTAGTAATGAAGAAAATCTGAAGGTATTCCTAAAGGTTTTCTAAAATTGCCAGAAGAAAACTTCCAAAAAATGCTACTAAATATGTAACTAGTAAAAAAAGGTTGTCATCTTGATTCATCTAAACCCCAAGATAGCAGTCAGCCTTCTACAAGTAACCCAGATAATCCTAATAGTCAAACAGAATTTGTCACCTCAACCTAGTTCAGTTTCATGTATCAAATCTCAGAGAAGGCGTGAATGTCATATTCTTTCTGGCATGTAGGCATTTGAATTCTGCTGAAGCAAAAGTTTCCTAGAGCAGCCGATGATAGAAAAAGATAAATACAAGACCATTGGCTAATGAGTTGCACTTTATTTTGCATACACAATCTTATGCTTTCAAATATATTTTCATTTCAGAGCACGTTTGCCAAAATGGGACCTTCATTACTTGTTTAATTATTATTTAAAAAAACTGTATTTATTACAGAATTTCAAAATTTTAGTGATCAGTTTATTAATTAAACTTACTTAATTTTTACAAAAGTAATTATTGAGATATCTCAGGCTATTATAAATCTCAGTATATCATAAATTTTAAGGTATGTATATATCTGAAACTGTTAATAAGAAATTAGGCACATTCACATTATGTAACTAAATTCATTTCATAAACTTGGTATATTTTTAATATATTAGAGGTATTTTGAACTGTGAGTCATAATTGGTTTGGTTTAGTTGATTATTGCAAAGCAAACTAGGGTTCTCTTTCTAAGGGGAGGATGCCTTTGTGGAGGACTTTCTCGGGAAACTAGCTCATATACATGGTACAGGTAGGGAAAACCATGAAAACACCCATGCAGCCAACCCAATTCTTCTGAAATCGAATAGGAACTGCCCGTATTCAGTGATTTTTTTTACCACTCAGCCACTGGTTACCTGTGAGTTATAAGACATGTGCTGTCATTTACACTGAGTAAAATAAATTCTGCTTTATCATAATTGATGACACTTTTGTATGTCTTGCATTAAACTCGCATTTAAAATTCTTTTACCGTAAATGCAAAATTCAAGGAGGGGAAAAATATCTCTTTCAAAAACATTGAGATTAATAGTTTTAGAAAATTTTATAATACCAAGAGTAATTTGTAAATACAGTCAAAAGTCGTTAATCCAGACTCGTCGGGACTTCGGCGATTCCGGATTATCGATATAGATCAGTTTAAATCTCATAAGATGGCATGCACAAATTCTAAAATTAAAAATATGAAACCGTATTTTAGGAAATAAAGAACAATTATGATCTAAAGGGTATCAAAATTTACAAAAAAAGAACCTTAATATTTATTTGTTTACTTTATTAAACATTTCTTTCAATGCAAGTTGTTTCGTTTTATGTGATAATACTTTCTCTTTAATTCTATAAAGACATAATTTCTTGTTCAGTTAAAAAGCTCCGCTGTTCAAGTCCCATAATTGCTGTGCCGAGAATACCGACTAACTTGTCAATCGAAATTTTTTCGTTTTCACTAACCTCTCTGTCACCTTCTTCATGTCTTTATCCATTTTTTGCAGCAATTCCACTTTTTGTTTGATGGACATGGAGACATACTTTCGTTTTGTAGCTCCTTTGGGAGCTCCAGAATCAGAAATTGACATAATCGAAAGTTCAAGTTTACTTTTATAAAATTGCTCTTACAGTCTGCAAAAATAATAAGCTGCATCCAATTCGAAGATTAAGGAATAACACAAGCATCAACATTAACTGAAATAGATAATTGTATAATTTTAGCTTATACCGTCCGTTATACGTTAAA